TTTTTATCTCTAATGATTTTTGTTTCTCCCTCCATCTTGTCTGAAAAGATGTGAGAGTACCACTCTCTATGGATGATGGCATATCTTCTGACGAGAGTAATGATGTGATATAATTGTAGGGGTCACCTTTGGCAATGTACAGGTGTGACTATAGTTTACATATAAGACCACTGTGGTCGGTACGACTGTGTTCATAGATCATATCATAGTTTGGCAAGCTCTAAATATACTGATGGTTTAGCAAGTAGCAAATTACTGATATGATATGAAATGAATTGGTCATTCCACATGGGTAGTTGGGAATCCGCATTGTCCTCAATAGATGGAAGTGGAAACGACTTCGCGCAAAGAATAAGACCAAAGCATGATATGATTTGTTTGATTTTTTATATTTAATTTTGGCATGATTTGATATGATTATGACATGATTTGGCATTATTGATTTTATTTTTTTCTTTAAATAAAGTAAATTATTTTCATAATTATTAAAATAGACCTTCAACACGATTCTCGATGGTAAGTAAATAAGGTACCCTTTTCAAGTCTAAATACTTTTAAAATCTTAGTAATATTATTTAAATACTATTTTTTCATGCCTCCTTCAGATGAGGACGATAGTAAAGAACCAATCGTTGGCCTACCTATTAAAACTTTTGAGGATTCCGTGGATCCTTGAATCGTTACGAGTGCATGTTTTGTTCTGCACTCTGATGAGTCCAACTTTTGTAGAGGGTTTTGTTTAATTTTATTTCACCTCAGTATTGTAAGATTTGGAACTCTATTATTATTTTTGTAAGGGATTATAATATTTTATTCCGTTGTATATAATCATCTTAAATGCATTCGTATGTGTTTCTATATACCCTTATACTTTAATTAGCTGGGTGGACTTGTCAATGATTCTTTCCTCGATTGTTAGGGGTCTGTTGTTGGTGCTTCGATGAGACATGGTGAAGTACCTACAAGAAAAGGTTAGTGAAAGTAAGTAAATTCTCTCCTTCATCTTCACTCGTATTTACCTCACAATCTTTATCGTTAAAGCTTCTTCTGTCAAGTTGAGTGTTAGAATTAAATCTGTACCACCCCAATTTTTGACACTTTATGGATTTTAAAACTACGATATTTCTGACCTATTTCCATGTGAAAAGTTTTGTTCAAGTTACAAGCCCTTTTATTTTAATTAGTTTTTCCAAAAATATTTATCTGAATTAACCCATTTCAAGAGAAAAAACAAAGAAAAATGGCTCAGGAAAAACTCAAATAGCGACCCACGGCCCATGGCTTGTGATTCGCGAGCCGTGTCCCGTACAAGTAGGCCCATGCACACAAAGTGCGGTAAGGCAGCGCACAATGCAAAACATGGTTGTGCATAGTACGCAACACAGCACGTCTGCGTACATGGCAGACAACCTGCGAACGCACAATATGC